GTACAGAGAAGATGTAGTGTACACAGGGGGAGAAGAGTACAGAGAAGAAGTAGTTGTACACAGGGGACGAAGAAGTACAGAGAAGATGTAGTTGTAACAAAGGGGAGAAGAGGTACAGAAGAAGATGTAGCTTGTACACAGGGGAGAAGAAAGTACAGAGAAGAGTAGTTGTACACAGGGGAGAAGAAGTACAGAGAAGATGTAGTGACTACAGGGAGACAGAAGTACAGAGAATATGTAGTTGTACCAGGGGAAAAGGAGTACAGAGAGTATGTAGTTGTACACCAGGGGAGAAGAAGACAGAGAGTATGTAGTTGTACACAGGGAGAAGAAGTGACAGAAGGTATGTAGTTGTACACACAGGGGAGAAGAAGTACAGAGCAGAATGTAGTTCGTACACCAGGCGGGAAGAGGTACAGAGAAGATGTAGTTCTGTACACCAGGGGAGAAGAAGTACAGAGACAGATGTAGTTGTACAACAGGAAGAGAAGGAAGTACAAGAAGATTGTAGTTGTTACACAGGGGAGAAGAAGTACAGAGAGATGTAAGTTGTACACAAGGGAGAAGAGGTAACAGAGAAGCATGTGCAGTTGTACACAGGGGAAGAAGAAGTACAGAGAAGATGTAGTTGGTACCACAGGGGAGCAAGAAGTACAGAGAGATGTAGTTGATACACGGGAGGAAGACGGTACAGAAGAAGATGTAGTTTGTACACGGGAGAAAGAAGGTACAGAGAAGATGTATTGTACACAAGGGGAGAAGAAGTACAGAAGATGTAGTTGTACACAGGGGAGAAAAGACGTACAGAGAAGATGTCAGTTGTACACAAGGGGCAGAAGGAAGTACAGAGCCAGTATGTAGTGTACACACAGGGAGAGAGAGGTACAGAGAAGATGTAGTTGTACACAGGGCGAGAAAGAAGTACCAGAGAGATGTTAGTTGTACACAGGGGAAGAAGAGGTACCAGAGAAGATTGTAGTTGTACACAGGGGAGAAGAAGTACAGAGAGATGTAGTGTACACAGGGGAGAAGAAGTACAGAAGATGTAGTTGTACACAGGGAGAAGAAGTACAGAGAAGATGAGTTGTACACAAGGGGGAGAAGAAGTACCAGAGAATGTAGTTGTACACCAGCGGGAGAAGGAGTACAGAGACAGATCGTTGTACACCAGGGGGAAAGTACAGACAGAAGCATCGTACGTTGTACACAGGGGAGAAGAAGGTACAGAGAAGATGTAGTTGTACAACAGGGGGAAGAGGTACAGAGAAGATGTAGTTGTACACAGGGGAGAAGAAGGTACAGAGAAGATGTAGTTGTACACAGGGTAGAAGAAGTCAGAGAAAGATGTAGTTGTACACAGGGAGAAGAAGTAAGAGAGAAGATGTAGTGGTACACAGGGGAGAAGAGAAGTACAGAGAAGATGTTAGTTGTACACAGGGGAGAAGAAGTACAGAGAAGATGTAGTTGTAACACAGGGGGAAAGAAGTACAGAGAAGAACGTTAGTTGTACACAGGGGAGAAGAAGTACAGAGAACGAGTAGTGTGACACAGGGGCAGAAGAAGTACAGAGTAGATGTAGTTGTACAAAGGGGAGAAGAGGTACAGAAGAAGCATGTAGTTGTACACAGGGGAGAAGAGGTACCAGAGAAGAATGTAGTTGTAGCACAGGGAGACCATTTTCTCACGTTTCATGAGCCGCCAATTGCCCGATAACTCAAGAAACATTTGGTTTACAGAGAGACTCCCCGCACCTCCCCGAGAATAAAAAGTAGACTTATTGTCTGTCTCTTTATTCGTGAAACCTTTGACACATGTTGATGTAGAAGAGACATGAGGAAGAGGGGACACATGTTGATGTAGAAGAGACATGAAGAAGAGGGGACACATGTTGATGTAGAAGAGACAGTAGGTGACCTTGAAGTGTTAAAGTGGTCTCTGAACTCACATGTGGGCTCCCTGCAGACGACGTAGAGAGAGACCTCGCTGGGCTCGCTCTCTCCCGCCTTGTTAATGGCGGTCACTCTGAACTGGTAGACGTTTCCTTCGGTGAGGCCGCACACCTTCAGCGTGGAGTCCAGGTGAGCGCCGTCGCGGTTCACCTTCACCCAGCGGGCGCTCTTCCTCTCGCGGCGCTCCACCAGATAATGAAGCAGCGGGCTGCCGCCATCACTCTCCGGCTTCAGCCACTCGATGGTGGCGAAGTCCTCTGCTGAGACCAGGATCTCTGGAGTGCCCGGAGGAGAGGGCACGGCTGGAGTGGGAAGTAAAGGGTGAGAACTTAGTAGGGCTTCATTTTGACAATGAGGTATACTAACTTCACTTTTGGTCTGAAAGTTAATCTGGTCCGAAAAGTCCAAATTCAGAAATGTTTCTCTTATCCCAAAGAAAGTGAATACAATGGATATGGTGTTTCCTTTCTAACCAGTGCATGAAGAACATGGTTTTGCCTTCAACATAAGAACAGATCATTCCCAGTGACTTACTGAAGGTGTTCCTGGCCACCATGGCCTCGGACTGCAGGGGAACCCCGGTGCCGTACTTGTTGACCCCGCGGACCCTGAACAGGTACTCTGTGTTCTTGAAGAGCCTGGTGATGTCATAGGTCGCCTCCTTGCACTCGGCCTGCATGACGACCCAGTTCAGTCTGTTGGTGTCACGGCGCTCCACCAGGAAGTGGGACACGTCGTCACCGCCGTCCTCCAGAGGAGGTTTCCAGGTGAGGGAACAGGACTCTTCTGTGATCCTGCTGACCTCCAGGCTGCCCTCGCACACCCCAGGGGTGTCTGCGGAATCAGTTGCACAGTTTAGTGAGGGCAACTACAGTACTTTAGTCCGTGAGCAGTGCTGTGCTACTAAAGAAAACCTTAACTTAAGGCGCTCTGTGCACCCGTTTTACTTAATAAACCCTTAACTCTGACACTTGCTCTGCTGCACTTCCTTTGTGTTATTATTAAAATCTATTCCCATCGCTGCCATTCATTCCAATTATAATCTTAATGGGAATTTTGCGCTATCCTCATTTTAATGCACTATTATCTTAAATTATGATCAGTGTCTATTCTATGCTCACTTTACGCCTTTTGTATGTTTTCTATTGGTAACTGCATTCTATGTGATATACATTTTCTCTACTGCAACTCTTGCAGTCCAAAGTCTGACATTAATAAACCCTTACCGAGCACTTTGACGTTGACCTCAGCGGTCTTGGTCCCGCTCACGTTCCTGACGGTCAGGAAGTACTTCCCGGTGTCGTCGCGGTCGCAGAACTTGATGATGGCCATGGCCCGTGTGGGGGTGTACTGCAGGTGGTACTTCTCGCACAGCTCCAGCTCCCTGGTGCCCTTTGCCCAGGAAGCCTTGGGGTCCGGCCGGCCTCCAACGGCAGCGTCCAGAACCAGGTCTGAACCGGCCCTGACCCGCACCATCTCCGTCAGCAGTTTGCTGTCCAGCTGCGCCTTGGGAGGCTCTGTGGGGGAGGGGGGAAGTGAACTGATCAGACAGGACCAAAACAACACCTATATATAATCCAATTTAACAATGCTTATGTATATTATATCTATATATTTATGTTGCCTCGTGAAATTTATCTTGTAGAGTATTCAAATGTATTCAGTATTTATTCTATTTTTTATATTGTATATTATTAGATACTCTAGTGATATATGTATTTTCTATTGTCCTTTTGTATATATGTGCTGTAAAGTTTTATCATATTTGTTATCTTATTCTATCTTTTACATATTTTGAACTCATTTGTAATGCTTGAAGACACATAACTGCGTCACTGCTATCTGTCTGTGTCTGTCTGTCTGTTTGTATATTAAAGCCAAAATCTCTAAATACAGAAATGATCGTAAACTCGGTTCCTACACATATCACATTTATGTTTTTTGGGGGCGGGTCTTACCAAAGTCGGTCTTGCACTGCACGGATCCGGTGGACTGTGACGGCAGGCTGAACACCTGGTTGGCGTTCTTGGCGATGACCCTGAACTCGTAGGGCTCGCCCTCGCCCAGCGCCGTCACGGTGTACACCGTGTCGATCACGTTGGTGTAGTTACACTTCAGCCAGCGACCCTCGCCGGTCAGCGTGTACGGCTTACGCTCGATGATGTAGCCCACGATGGGACTGCCGCCGTCGTTCAGAGGCGAAGACCACTTCAGGGACACGGTGGATCTGGTGACGTTGGTGACCTCGGGTTTACTGGGTGCATCTGAGGAAGGAAGAAGCAGAGATCAGTAAAGAGGAAGTAGAGTTAACTAAAGAGGAAGTAGAGATCAGTAAAGAGGAAGTAGAGTTAACTAAAGAGGAAGCAGAGATCAGTAAAGAGGAAGTAGAGTTAACTAAAGAGGAAGTAGAGATCAGTAAAGAGGAAGTAGAGATCAGTTAAGAGGAAGCAGAGATCAGTAAAGAGGAAGCAGAGATCAGTAAAGAGGAAGTAGAGCTCAGTTAAGAGGAAGTAGAGATCAGTTAAGGGAAAGTCGGATCAGTTAAGGGAAAGTCGGATCAGTTAAGGGAAAGTCAGATCAGTTAAGGGAAAGTCAGATCAGTTAAGGGAAAGTCGGATCAGTTAAGGGAAAGTCAGATCAGTTAAGGGAAAGTCAGATCAGTTAAGGGAAAGTCGGATCAGTTAAGGGAAAGTCAGATCAGTTAAGGAAAAGTCGGATCAGTTAAGGGAAAGTCAGATCAGTTAAGGGAAAGTCGGATCAGAACTCACCGACAGGGTTCTGGGCGACGGCCCCCTTGGAGGCCTCGCTGGCCTTGCTGAGGCCGCCGCTGTTCATGGCGTAGACCCTGAACTGGTACTCCAGGCCCTCCACCAGACCCTCCATCTTGCTGTAGCACTCAAAGCAGGGGATCTTGTTCTCCCTCACCCACAGGATGTTGTTCCTTTCCTTCTTCTCGATCCAGTAGCCCGTCACCTTGCTGCCACCATCGTGGTAAGGCTCCTCCCACTTAAGGGTCATCGTGTTGGCGGTAACGTTGCACACTGAGGGCTGTGTTGGGGGGCCAGAGGGGGCTGCGATTCAAAAAGAGAGATGTTTAATTTCTGAACTGGAAAGTAGATTCAAGATATTGTCATATGCGCAGTAGCTAGATTGTAGTTAGTCCCAATAGTGCAAGAAGAAAACAATGTTCAAGTAATGCAGGAGAAGTAAACTATATACGTCAATAGGCAGATAAATATATTTATGTAAAAAAAAGAATCCAAATGAAGCAGAGAATGTTGTAGGTGACCTAGTAAAGCAGGAGTCTATATGCATGAAAATGGGATTGGATAAACAAGAACAGAATCAGGCACTGTTTATTTTAGTAATAAATAAATTGTGAGATGCAAACAGATGAATGCTTAAGGCATATTCATTCATAGTTTTATTATTATTATTATTATTATTAACTGATCTGATGTACAATGTTGCAAAGTTTGAGAGTGAGTTACTCACTGAAGGGATGCTCGGCGACGATGGTCTCAGACTCGATGTGCTTACTGACTCCGAACTGGTTCTCTGCGGACACCCTGAAGCTGTACTGCATGTACTTGGTGAGGTGGCCGACATCCAGAGTGGTGCGCTTGACGCTGGAGTTGATGAGCTGCCAGGCGGTGGAGCCGGACTCACGCTTCTCCACGATGTAGTTGGTGATCGGCGTACCTCCGTCATCTTCTGGCGCTTCCCAGTTGACGACGCAGGACTCAGAGGTGATGGATGTGATCTCCACGGTTCCGGTGGGAGGATTAGGTCTGCCCATGACATTCACTTCAATGGAGAAGGTCCTGGTTCCGGTTACGTTCTCAAGGGTGAGGAAGTATTTACCACTGTCTCCCCTCATGGCCTCCTTCGTGGAAATGGTTGTCCGGTCCTTTGTAGTTTGGATGGAGACTCTGTCGGAGTTCCTCAGCCTCATCTCCTCCAGCTTCCAGGTGACCTTAGGAACGGGTCTGCCACTGATGGGGACGTCGATGGTGAAAGTCTTTCCTGAGTTGCATGTGATGAGTTGGTTGGGGATCTCGCTGAGGTCGGCAGCGGGTTCAATGTGCGGCTCTTTCACCAGAGCAGCCACCAGAGTTTCCCTCGGCGTGCTGCAGCCGGACTCGTTCTTGGCCTTCACACGGAAGTTATACTCGTCTCCCTTGTTGAGCTTCTCCACAGTGTAGGTGAGATTGGTGGTATTGCCCACCACCATCCATTTGTCTCCATCCTTTACCTTGGCCTCAAGGATGTAGCCCTGGATGCGGCTGCCGCCGTCATGCTCTGGTTTCAGCCAGCCCAGCACCACGGTGCTGTCAGTAGTGTCAAGGATGTCCATCCTCTTTGGGGACGCCGGCTCTGCCGTGGCGATGATGGGATTGGTTATCTCAAAGGCCTCGCCCATGCCATGCTGGTTCTCTGCTGAGACCCTGAAGAAATACGGCACTCCCTCCAGGAGGTCCTGGATCCTCAGGATGTGCTGCTTGCAGTTGCCTCCAGACTGTGTCCATGTGCGGCGGCTAGCCTCGCGCCTCTCCACAACATAGTGATGGATTCTCGCTCCGCCATCATTAAGAGGAGGCTCCCAGACGAGGGTGACGGTGCCTCTAGAGATCTCCTTGAAGGCCACAGCCTGCGGTGGTCCGGGCGTGTCCATCACCTTCACAGTAAAGGTGACGGCCTTGCTGCCACTGGTATTCTCCAGGGTCACGGTGTACTTTCCAGTATCGTTCCTGGAGCAGTTCTCAATGCTCAGAGAACTGAAGCCGTCTGAACTTGTGACCTCTGACTTGACTCCCAGCTCTTCTTCTTCCTTTACCCAGGTTGCCGTCGGGACTGGCTTTCCTCTGAAGTTGACGCCAAGGTTAACTGAAGCTCCAGGTTTGACGATGTGTGTCTGCCTGAAGCTGGCGTCGATGTCCACCATTGGTGGCGTTTGTCTGTCAACGGCATGTGCTGGCTCGGGGATCTCCCGCTCCTCGCCACGGCCAATGTGATTTACAGCAGCCACTCTGAACCTGTACTCACCGCCGGTCTGTAGAGAAGTCACTGTGTAGTTTGTCTCTGCCACGAGCTCTTCGTTTACTCTCGTCCATTCCTCTTCTTCTCCCTTCGCCATCTCAATAATGTAACCCATGATCTCTATGCCACCATCATCGGCAGGTCGGGACCACTCTAGGCTGATGGAGGTGTTGGTGGAGTCGGACACACACACCACAGACGGAGCACAGGGAATGTCCTTGGGCTCGGCGGCTTTGATCGGTAAGGAAACGTTACTGGGAGCTCCCACGCCGGCATCGTTGACGGCCATGACGCGGAACTCGTACTCCATATCCTCCGTCAGGTTGGGCACCTTGTGGGCACACTCTACAATGGGCTTCTTGGTGATCACCTTGTAGAACTTGACAGTCTTCTTCTCTCGTTTCTCCACGATGTAGGACTGAATGGGGTTACCTCCATCAGAGGTAGGAGCCATCCAGGACAGCGTGATGCTCTCACCGGTCATCTCCGTAGCATCAGGAGTGCCAGGAGCTTCAGGAGCAGCTAAGGGGAACACCGGGCATTAGAACAGAGTTTTCAAAGAACAGAGAATACTAATCTTGCAGTTTACCGTGAAAATAATAAGAATAATAACTTGTGTTTAATTAGATCAGAATACATTATTAAACCTTTGTGTGCTACAAGGCTGTCCAACTTACTGTATTGCATCTGTGCAATGACGGGAGTGGACTCCAGAGGTCTGCCCATACCGAACTTGTTCACAGCAGAGACCCTGAACTGGTACTCGTTGGTCTTGATGAGCTTGCTAGCATCGAAGGTGCACTCTGTACACTCGTCAGAGACCAATGCCCAGGAGATCTTGGCAGTCTCACGCTTCTCAATGAGGTAGTGTGTGATCTCTGAGCAGCCGTCATTCTCCGGCTCGCTCCAGGACAGCGTACACTTTCCTTCCGAGATGTTGCTGAAGGTTATGGGTCCCAGCGGCTCCCCGGGGGTGTCTGCAGTACAGAGGGGCATGGGTTAAAGCAGAAATACTTATAAAACCGGCCTGTACACACCAAGGGGGTGCAAAACAACCCATAAACAAATACAAGACAAAATTCCAAACTGTGTACCTTGGACTTGAACAAGGATGTCCTGCTTTCTGTTTCCAGATCCATTGGTAGCCTCCACAGTGTAGAGACCGCGGTGTGTACGATCAGCGTCCCGGACAAACAGCGTGCTGGATCCAGCCACGTTGATGATGTCCATCATCTGTTTGGTAACTAACACACCGTCTCTGAACCAGACCACTTTAGGGGTAGGGCGTCCGGTGATGGTGGCTTTCAGCCGGATCTTGTCTCCTGCCTTCACTGTCAAACCCTCAAAGTACTCCGGACCAAACTCAATCAACGGAGAAGCTGGTTGATAGGAGATGGGAACGCATTAGTACAGAAAGCAACTTCAATTGTGAGTTATAATTAAGTCTCCAGTTTATTTCATTACTCACCATTCTCGTTTCTGACCACGATCAAGCCTGAGGAGTTGGAGGGAGGGCTGACCACGCCAATGGCGTTCCTGGCCGTCACTCTGAACTCGTAGCGCTCGTTCAGTGCCAGGCCGGTGACAGTATACTCGCATTCGTGCACGTCAGTCAGGTTGGCCTTGAACCAGCGGCCCTTGCCTTGGCGTTTCTCCAGGCTGTAGCTGGTGATCTTGCTGCCACCGTCACGTTTAGGTGCATCCCATTTCAGAGTCACCGAGTCACTGGTCACATCGGTGTAGTCGGGCTGGCCCGGGGGATCTGGAAGGCAGGAAATGCACCTTTACATTTATTTTGGTCAAAGATTTTCATTCTAAAATTGTGGCAGATACCCGGTACCCAATAATTTCAAATGTTTTTTTTTAGAAGAAGCTGACAACCTTGAGTTTATGCTCACCTGAGGGTGAGGTCTTCATAAACTAAACAACACAAGGTTTTTTACGACTTATCCTAGTAAAGTATCTTTGGCCCTCTTCTACTATTCTGAACAAAAGTATTCTGATGTGAACCTGCGACTCACCGACAGGGCTGACCGCCATGTTCAACTTGCTATGGTCACTCATTCGGCTGCAGCCGGCGTCGTTCTGGGCGTAGACCCGGAAGGAGTACTCAAGGCCTTCGATGAGCTCCAGGATCCTGTAGTCTGTCTCTTTGACCAGCACGGTGTTCACCTTCTGCCACATGATGCTGTTCTTCTCCCGCTTCTCCACATTGAAGCCATGGATGGGGCAACCCCCGTCGTAGATGGGCTGCTCCCACTGGATGGTCATGCCGTCGTTGGTAACATTGTACACCACGGGTTTACCGGGCGGGCCTGGAGGCCTGAACTGGTGCTTGGCAATGACGCTCTGTGAGACGAGAGGCTCACTGCTGCCGTATCTGTTCTCTGCACGCACTCTGAACTGGTACTGAATGCCCTTGATCAGGTTAGCGATCTGGTACTGGGTGTCCTCTACACTGGAGCAGGCCATCTTCCAGTCAGACTGGGAGGTGTCCCTCTTCTCAACGGTGTAGCAAGCAATGTCTCCGCCGCCATCGTCATTTGGTTCATCCCAGGAGATCGTGATGCTCTCAGCTCTCACTTCATCCAGGCGGATGGGACCGATTGGCTTAGATGGCGGTCCGAGCGTGATGACGTTGATGTGGAAGGATCTCCTGTTGACCCTGTTGTCCAGGGTCAGGGTGTATTTACCTTCATTCCCCTTCGTCACATTCTTAATATTCAGCGTGGCTTTGTTCTCCGTCTTCTTGAAGCGGATCTGGTCGCTCTCCTTTAGAGGCAGGTTGTCCTTCAGCCAGAGGATGGCAGGTTTGGGTTTACCTTTGTAGGGCAGTTCGATATGGACGTTGTGACCCAGACGGACACTGATGCGGCTTCCAGGGTACTCAGCAAGGCAGGCCTCAGGCGTGATAATGTAGTCGATGACCTGGATAGGACCCATCTCAACAAAGTCTCCCTGTCCCTTATCATTCCTGGCCGCCACTCTGAAGAACACTGTGGAGTGCTCCTTCAGTTTCTTCACCTCAAGCTCGCACTGTCGGCTGGTTCCTCCCCGAGACCATTCTTCGCCCTTCAGCTTCTGCTCAATGACGTATTCGGAGATGATGCTGCCACCATCGTAATCTGGCTTCAGCCACTGCAGGGTGACCGAGGTCTTGGAAGAATCCTTCATAGAAACCTCCTTGACCGGGCCAGGAGTCTCTGTGGCCTTCACAGGGTCCAGGGTGTCGCAGGGATCGCCAACGCCATTCTCATTCTCCGCCATCACACGGAAGAAGTAGGAGGCCTTCTCAGAGAGGTCTTCCAGGGAGTATGTTGTTTCTGTGCATTTGCTGGTCACTGCAGAGTAGATCCTCTTGGAGGAGTCCTTCTTCTCTACGATGTAGTTTGTGATCTCAGCACCACCGTCGAGGAGTGGAGGCTCCCAGCAGAGAGTGAGCTTTCCACGAGTCACGTCTTTCAGGACCAGGTTCCTGCACTGAGCCGGGGTGTCCTGGACCTTCACGGACAGGGTCAGCGTTTTTGGCTCTCCAACACCGTTCTCTATCTTCACTGTGTATTTTCCAGTGTCAAGCCTAGTCACCTCACGCATAACCAGCACGGTGGTGTTGTCAGAGTGGTGGAACTCGTATTTGGGGTTACTGTCGATGCATTCCTCTCCTTTGCTCCAGGAAGCGGTGGGAGCTGGTCGGCCCTTCAGAGGAACAGACAGCTCCACATCCTTACCGGCCTTCACGATGTAGTGAGTTCTCATGGCCACGTCAGGGTCAATTTGGGCCTCCTCTGTGAAAAGCATGGAGAAAATACAAAATCACACAGGGCCGGAGATATGTGTGCAGCAAAACATGCAGCCGGGTTCCTGAAGAAAAGGTAAGCATGAAAGAAACTGACTGTTCAGCCACATTTCCAGAGTGACAGTACAGTTTTTTTTGGATTACAATAGGTTTCAAATCAAAGCCTACACATTTCTGTCAGGAAAACTTCTGCACATAATTTAATAAATCTTGGTTGAAGGGTGTAACATGAACCAAAGAAAACACATTTTAAGCAGTTTAGCTGTCCCTGAACGTAAATATGTAGGAGACAGGGTTCTAACACACTTCACAACACAAGTGATTTATTACCCAGGATGTCTTTAGCTTGCACAGCCTCGGTCATCTCTAGAGATTCTCCACGGCCGGCACAGTTCACAGCTGAGACCCTGAAGAAGTAGTTGACGTCTGGTTTCAAGTCGTGGATGATGTACTCAGTGGTCTTGACTTCTCCCTTGGCGGTGACCATGGCCCACTCTTCTTCTCCCTCAACAAGCTTCTCCAGCATGTAGCTGATCACCTCGCTGCCGCCGTCCCATTCAGGCTTGGACCAGCCCAAGGTGATGGAGGTCTTGGTGGAGTCAACAACCTTCAGCTTGCAAGGCTCATCCGGAGTTTCTGTAAGGCAGGGCATATGTGTTTAGAAAGCTCATAACAAAGGGCTTTACGGATAAAAAAAAACAATAAAAGCACATTTGTGAACACTCACCAACAGGGTCCGCAGCCTTGTAGTAGTCGGAAACTTCAGAGAACGGTCCCTCTCCGGCCCTGTTGATGGAACACACTCGGTACTGGTACTCGTTTCCTTCTGTCAGGTGGTACACCATCTTCTTGATGTCTGAGATTGCCTCTTTGTAAACCCGGATCCAGCGCAGGCTCTTCTTGTCACGCCTCTCCAGGTAGTATCCTGTCACCATGCTGCCACCATCCACCCCCGGTTTGTTCCACTCCACCAACATGGTGGTCTTGGTGATGGTGTTCACCTCGGGAGTGTGAGGCTGCCCAGGAGTCACTGTAAAAAGGTAGAGAAGACAGGTTAGGACATGCAAATGATAAAATAAGTCCTTGACCTATTTCTCCATAAAGGAAATTATTTTCGTTGTCGTTTTCTCTTACTGATATTCTGCACAAACTGTGCTGTTGTATTTGCTGTAAAGTGTCTCTACTGTAGGTTATTTTTTATTATATGAACAGCACTTTGGCTCGACCAAAAATCGTTTAAAAATGTGCTATATAAATAAAACTTGATTTGATTTGGAAACAAAACCGACTGTAGTGGCTGCAGATTAACGAATAACTTTTATGCAAGTAAGTAATATAAGTAGGGCTGTCAAACGATTAACATTTTTAATCAGATTAATCACAGCTTAAAAAATAATTAATCATGATTAATCACCATTCGAACTATGTCCAAAATATGCCATTTCTTTATGTATATTGTTGTGGGAATGGAAAGATAAATGAAAGAAGGCGGATATATCCATTTAACATACAGTATATGCATGTTTATTATAACATTGTTCTGTGTGTCAAAATGAAAGACAGCCCACACACCTATCAATCATCAAACCGTGGGGTCTTATTTCATTACGTGTTGATTTCTATCAACAAGTAATGTTGTATCGATGTATATAGAGATGTACTACAGCAAAAGTATTCTCCGTCAGGACTTCCTGCAACAACAACACGCGGTTATCTTGATTCTGATTGGCCAGGAGACATTATCAAAGATGTTCTATTGAGAAGACGATCACTACGTCACAAAAGTTTTCAAAAC